CGTTAGGGGTAACGAGGGCGGATGGACGAAGCCATAGTCACGCGGAAAGACACCGTGCTGAAATGCAAATATATTGTAAAATGAGTATATCGACCCAGGGAGGAATTTAGCGCCTAAAAGAGCAGTGATGAGAGCGAAACACTTTTGTCGAACTGCTATTACCAAAGCCGAAGACTCATATCTGTCGATCATTTTGACTGGCCGATGAGTGGCAAGCAGTAGCACAGTTGAGTTATCTTGGGACACTAAAGCAGTTTTCACTGCTGTGAGAAGTGCTGAAGATCTATATTTCCCTCCGTGAGAGAAATATAGTGCAATAATGTTGTGATTTTGGGTCTCAATGGCTGCTTCGAGAACCGAATCACCGTACGGATCAACAAAACCAATATCCACCCCTCTCGATAGTATGCCAGCAATGATTCCATCGTCCCCCAATTTGATGGCCTGGATCAGTTCACCACCAATTAATCTCGCATGTCGACATTGTAAAACAGTGGCAAGGTTCCCACTTTCAAGAGCTAACTGAAAGGGCGTTGCGAGCCGGGAGGGAACAAGCCAATGCCAGATGGAACGCCCTCTATCTTGGGCAGGCTTGAACTGTACATCAAGAAACATACCATTGCTGATAATCCACTGCACAAGGTTTGTATTCCCTGAGCGTGTTGCCACATGTATTGGTAGCGGATTCTTTGATGTCTCGGTAAAGCCATCGATGTCGTGGTCGGAGAATGCGCCCGACTGCAAAATCATTTCAGTCACTTCAATGTCTGGATTCCACGCCGATGCAACGAGAGGACTGAAATCCAGAGTCCAATCACCGTCCCAACTCACGTCGAGACCGATGAGGTGCTCTATTGTTTCACGATCACCCGCCAAAGATGCTACCATGAATAAGCTCTGAAGGGCTTTCTTAGAGACTTTGCCCCGAGCATCCAGAGTTGCGCGGAGTAGCATATTAGCCATTGTATTGTTTTCTGAAACAATAGCAATATGCAGCAATGTACAGTCTATTTTCAGGAGTTGAAAACACTCGGCATACCAATAGTACAAATCATCTTCATTTGGCCCAGAACGAACATCAAAGTTATAGGAGATAAGACGTCCGGAATTTGCACTGTGGTGAAGTCTATCGATCAAAAACGCTGCCAGGAGATTGCATCCTTTTGCAATTGCTATTCCGAGCGGGGGCAATAGATCCAGCTCGGGATTGTGCTTCAAAAGTAACTGAACAAAATGTAGAGCATGTTCATCTGCCAAGGCGTACGCGATTACGTTCAGTGGCGACGGCTTGCAGGTATATATATTTATACCCCCTTCTAGTAGTATTGTTGCGAGGTGTATATCGTGTGATTGAAAAGCAAGTTCCAATGCACCAATAGTTTGGAAGAAGTTTACCGCCATGGAAAGTGCCATCTTGCCTCGTTTAAAATGCAACGGCTTTCCGGGAAAGAAGTTGGGCGGTCTTTTGATTGGTATGTTCGGATCTACGCCGACTTGAAATAATTGCGTAATTAAGTCGTGTTTTCTCTGCCGAATTGCACATCCGTATATAGCCTCCGAAATGGCATCCGTGGTTGGAGACCTAGTTCCAAAGAAACGAGCTGGCCATAAGAGATCGTCCCCTGAGGAAATGGACTCAAGCAACCAAAGTATAAATCTATCGCATCCTTCGAGGCCCCAATCGGCAAAGGGGGGAGTTAGATGAAAGCTTTTGTTTGCGAGCGAAAATAAAATAGCCTTCAGGGAGGCTGATGCTATAGCCCATGGACCACCTGTCCATAGTGATGCACTCTCGTCTCGGTCATCCTTTTCACAATTCTGGGGGATGGATCGAACAAGGTCAATAATTTTGTTGCAAAATGTCAAAGGGTTCCTAGAAACCACTTCCATGGATGAGACACCCCTGAGCATTGCGAATAAGTCAGGCAAGCCGGGCATCTGTAAAGAATCTTCTCACTAGTTAGACTTGCGATTATGTAGTAGCTCATTCCTAGTAGCAACTTACTCAGATCGAAGTCTTGTATGAATTTAAGCCAAGGCAGGTTTGCCGGCCATTGGGTTTTAAACTCTGGGAGACTTGGCGTCACGACCCGTACAATGTCCGGTGTGGGGTTTGGGGGACTTGGGGCTGCGGCATCTCGGTCAGATTGACAACCAGGAAGGGGAGACTTAAGGAGGTTCTTACCATCTATCCCAAAATCTCTAGCAGTAGGAATCGTGGTGTACCGCTTTACCTCTTTATGTACCTTTTCTGGTGGAAGCGGCATTCCCAAAACTGTGACCATCGACTGTTTCCCAGCCTTCTTTCTCTTCTGAACACGGTGGCTGATGTATCGCCAATCATCGCGCTGGATATTCTTTTTCATGCCCCATTGTTTGAGTTGGTACTCATACTGATGCTTCCTCCAGATCAGTCAGCGGGGTGGGATATATGCTTAAGGCCGTGATACGTACTTTTTGTCAAAGCTGTACCGTTCCTTCATCCGATGTGATAAATCCTGCAAAGAGAGCTTTTCAAGCAGATAGAGACATGTAATCGTGTCCTTGTGATATTCCCAGTCATCAGACGCCATGGTTTTGAAGACTAGGTGTGAGTTAAATGGGAAGATCGAGGCAAACTCGGAACAGGAGCAACGGTGATATCTATACAGTAGTGCAACTTCAATTGTGATTGGTTGTCTCCAAAACCAGATTACCCCTCACATGTGGCTTTCAAGGATCAATGATTGATTGGCCCAGATAGGAGTTAACGAAGGCCATGCGATTCCAACCTGCTACCTTATTTCACAAAGCTATCAATTAAGCTCACCAAGAAGAGCGGGATGCCATAAAATGTCGCTTTTGTCATCTTCCCAGCCATATCTAAGACCTCCAGCCGGCAGCTCCCATAATCATGGCCAATGTGGCAACTCAGCTGCACATATTGGAAGCTACCCAAGTAATTAGTCAGTGAAGAGACCGTCCACGCTCAAGACGCCAGCCGCGGTGCCGAAAACCCCGTGACATGCGACAATATATTAGCTGACAAAAAGAACTGCAAAAGATATCGCACCGAAAGGTCTAGGAAGGTAGCAGCTTAGCGAAATCTTATTGGTCCTTCGATGACATGTGGGCGAGTTCAATCCTACTCCCGCAAACCTCCCCGCACTTAACAGAATACTGACCGGTCGCTATGCACAAAGGAGTTGTACCTCATGTAGAGTATGCCGAGATATCATAGGTGTTAACAAGATTACTCTTATAACAAAGGCAATATATGATGACGCCATTGGAGAGACACTAATATCTCCATATAAACTTCTGTTAAAGTCAAATGAAGCGGATTTATGATGGCCATTGCTATTTATAAGGAGTGAGATGACGGCGGTACGAGAAGGCCGATTCGCTAGCCATGTCATTTCACTCAGACTATTTCAACAACCCTATCCCCCCTCATTATCCTCCTCGCCATCTTCAGAGAGTGACGAACAGGATGCCTCGTAGTCGCTGGCCTCCTGATAGGTTACTCTGAACTCGACATCTTCAGGCTCTCCATGACCCTCAAGCGTCTTCCTATCCTTAATCCACTGGAAAAGGCAGCTTCCACAGGCCGATCTGACACCGAAAACATTCAACTCGACAAGCTGAAGGAGGTCACGCTCTTCATCAAAGAACACGTCAAAAGCGAGCCCTTGACGCATCAACAAGTCATCCATCTCATCCTCAGGATCTAGTTCCGCCGCGATCTGCTTCCTTATCCCATCGACCCCCTCGACAATCTTCTCCACTGCTTTTTTCCGCACCTCATCGGACGCGAGATAGAAAAGCCATTGTTTATGCCATCTGTACTGACTGATTGCCGAAACGCGCAGCGAATCTGCCGGACGGAAAGGCGGGCAGAAAACACGATATTCCCTCTCAGTTCGCATGTGGCCATCCCAGGGCGTGAAGAATAGCTCAACCACCTTGGCATTTTCCTCGACGGCGTCAAAAAGGGCGTTGCGTGCCCGCAAAGATGTCAGCAGGAGCAGCAGGATCGCTTCGACGGAACGCAGCGCAGAGTTCCCTGGTATCTTTTGCACCCCATCTTTTGCGGAACAGGCGTCGAGTCTCATGAATAGGCCCTCCGGGGGGAAGGTTAATGACTCGAATGCAGGCATTATTTCTTCGTCAATTTCCTCGCGATAGATGCGATTGATCGAGCTACACGGTATAGATGCATCGGCCACGCGGAGAAGCAATCGGGCCTGCGCGAGCGAAAATGTGACAATCTGGAGGTCCGAGGAAGCAAGTCCACGCAAGCGTAGGATGAGAGGGAGCCATCGTTTGAACGAATACGGCTTCTGAGAAGGTCTAGTTGGAAGATCAGGTGCTTCATGCTCAGAGTGGAATGATGTGTTGAATCGCGCTCTTACTGAGTTGTCTGCACGCGCCCGGGATGAATACTGCTGTTCGATATCCGCCAAAACCTCAAAATGGTTGATATTAACGAGCCTGGCCTTCATCATGAGAACATTCCGTCTTCATAGTTCGGTCCAGGATGCCGCAGAGACGGTGATCTTCTTGCCGGCGACAGAAGTCGGTCGATAAGGTGGGGTGGTGGATTGCTTCAGTTCTGCACACAGGTTGACTATTCTACGGTCAGTCAACTTGGGTCCGACTATGCCCTCAACAAGAAAGGTCTACTTGAAAAGAAAGAACGATGGAAAAAAGGTATCACCTATGAACATCTGCAAATCCATACTTACTTACACTTATGTACCCACAATAATGATCTGCTTAACAAAAAGAAAGGAAGGAAAGTATAAAGTACTGGAAGCAACACTAAGTAAGATATTGCATCTGATTGTGGGTGCAGGTACCTACCTAGGTAGCTTATTATAGTCACATGAGTGGTCATACCTCCCCTTGATAGCTGTTGATAAACGGTTTCTTATACTTTATTATCACTTGTTGGCTGTTATTAAATCAAAAGTGAAATGTATGAAGGAGGTAGAATTAGATGCCAACAAAACAGTAGTAGCCCCGCAGCGGACTCGAACCGCTAATCTCAGAATTAGAAGTTCTGCGCCTTAGCCATTAGGCCAGCAGGGCACTGCCGACGTGGCTGTATTAGCATATAATATTCTCCCCGTCTACCTACACTGGACCCCTTTAGTTTTAGGGGGGCCGCCAAACCCAGGTTATAGAAGGCATAAGAACCTCGTTGATTAAAAAGAAAAGCATTCAGGTGCACTTTAAGCAATAAGAAGGTGACTTGCAGAGTCCTCAATAAAAGAACAGGTGATTAGGACCCGAATTTCAGTACCATGACTCGCGATGGAATATGTAATATCCGGTCAAACCAGAAAGGAAGGCGAGGTCCTGTAAGATGCCTACAGAAATGTACAGCCTGCATGTGCCTGAAAGTCAGCGTTTCCGCGATTTCCTCTAAGCGAATCGAGAGATGCAGCCACAATTGCAACTGTGGTGAGCTGCATTGCTGCCTAACCCCCTGCTGCTTCTCGCTTCTTGCCTCTTACCTCTCACCTCTTTTTCTCGAGCCATTCACCACTAGAAATTTCACTATATTGTTATTTTTCGGGAGAACTAACCCCTAATTTCTCATATTCCGGCGGCAATCCTGTGGGCCTAATTCCCCAATCCACCCGGCTACCTACGGTTTTTATCCAGAAAGGTATCCAGAACCAGACCACAAGTTCTACCAGACTCCTACGGCGGTACCCGTTTCTCAGCCTGTCAACCTGACCACAGAGTCAGGCCCGCCAGAGCTACCAGAGCCTACAATATCTGAAATCAGTGCTACCACCCGTCTTTCCAGCATCCCTCGCGATGCCAAAGAGACATATCGACCACGAGTGTTGGGTATCCCGTGTAGAGAAGAGAAGGAAATCTGAGCGTCCCGTAGATCAGGCCTTAGGGGCCAGCACTCTAAATCCGCAATTGACAAATGAAGACTATACCGTCGGTTGGATTTGCGCGATAATGATCGAGTATGTTGCCGCGCAGGCTTTCCTCGATAAAACGCACATGGGTATATCTCAACCGAGGGAAGATACTAATCACTATACCTTGGGAGAAATTGGGGGGCATAATGTTGTTATTGCCGTCTTGCCATACGGGGAGTATGGGACAAACTCTGCTACCAACGTTGCAAATAATATGGTACGCACATATCCTCACATTAGGATTGGTCTCATGGTCGGTATCGGTGGTGGTGCGCCCAATGACAAACATGACATCCGGCTCGGTGATGTCGTGGTTAGTACGCCGTCTAACGGACATGGTGGGGTGCTCCAGTACGATTTTGGCAAAACAATACAGAACAAAGCGTTTTGTATGACCGGATTCTTGGACCAGCCACCACCCCTGTTGCGTACAGCAGTTGGTGGGCTACAAGCGCAGTACGAACTCAATGGCCACTCTCTAAGCGAGGCTATCGATATGACCTTGCAGAACTGGCCGAAATTGAACAAGAAGAAGTACGGGCGACCGGACATAAGTACTGATAGGCTATATCCCCCCGATGTTGTCCACAATGACGAACGTTGTTGTGCCACTGCGACAGGTGATGACATACTCAAACCGATATCCCGCCAACCCCGTGCCAAAGATGCACATAACCCATCTATCCATTATGGTCTGATTGGATCAGCTAATCAACTCATGAAGGACGCGATGGTGCGGGATCGACTCTCCAAACAGAAAGACATCCTCTGTTTCGAAATGGAAGCAGCAGGACTAATGAATCATTTTCCTTGTTTAGTCATCCGAGGCATCTGCGACTATTCGGATAGTCATAAAAACAAGGAATGGCAGGGGTATGCAGCAATGACGGCGGCCGCATATACGAAAGACCTTCTATGTCAAATACGGCCACACGATGTCATAATAACTGAAACGAAGATGAACGAATTGGGTTCGTTGATATCAAGTCCCTAGAATAAAGATTAAGGTCCATTTATAACTAAATGATAACAGTTCTTGCATCTGTATCCGTAATTGGAGAGAATATCGAAGCACTGAAGTCCAAAGAACACAAGAAAGAAGATCTCGAAATCCTCGACTGGATCTCGCGAATTGACTACGGCCCTCAACAGAGCAACATTTTGAACATGGCGCAACAAGGAACTGGCCAATGGTTCCTTAACTGCGTGCAATATCAGGATTGGCTACATGCAGGGACAAAAACACTTTTCTGCCCAGGTATGCCTGGCGCAGGGAAAACAGTTCTTACATCAATTATTATAAATGACCTTTGGACCAGATTTCGAGAGGATACCGCTATCGGACTAGCGTATATATACTGCGACTTTCGGCGAAAGGAAGAACAAAAACTTCAAGATTTGAACTGCAGCCTTTTAAAACAACTAGCGGAACGTCACCCTAACTTACCCGAAGACTTGAAAGATCTTTACCGGGGCCATGCAACACGGCGAACCAGGCCGTCACCGAAAGAGCTTTCGAAAGCTCTGCGTTCTACAGTTGCGACATATTCAAGGGTTTACGTCGTTATTGATGCCCTCGATGAGTGCGAAGTCTCCAATGGTTGCCGCGATCGATTTCTATCTGAGATCTTCGACATCCAATCCGGTGGCAAAGTTCGCCTTTTAGCAACCTCCCGTTACAATCCATTGATCGAGGACAGGTTCAAAGACGGTACGATCTTGGATATTTGCGCCCACAAAGACGATATTCAACGATATTTGGACGATCATATCTCGGAATTACCAGCTTTCATTAAAGATGATTCTGACCTACGACGAGAAATCAAAACTAGTATTGCCAGAGCAGCAGACGGGATGTATGTATACCCTTCCTATTATCACTCAACGCCATGTTGACATGGATACCCAAGGTTCTTACTTGCGCAACTTTATCTTAATTCACTAAACGGTAAAATGACCTTTGGGGCCGTTCGTAAAGCCCTCGAGAATTTAGTCACTGGATCCGATGCTTATGAGCATGCTTACAACGGGGCAATGGAACGAATCAATGAACAGCCCCAGGAAGAGGCAAACCTGGCGAAGCGAGTTCTGTCATGGATTACCTTTGCCAAGAGACCACTTGCTACGAAAGAGCTACAGCATGCACTCTCAGTGAAAGTCGGCACGTCCGGTATTCATGAAGATGATTTGTTACGCGTCAATATGGCCTCCATGTGTGCCGGGCTAGTGACAATCGACAAAGAAACGAGCATTATCCGACTGGTCCACTATACCACACAACACTACTTTGAGAAGTCTTTTGGGCGTTGGTTTCCGAATCCACACCTAGACATCACAAAAACTTGCATTGCATATCTTTCGTTTCAAGTATTTGAGAGCGGCGTTGTTTCATACTTCGAACGTGCGTTGCGCCTTGTAGCGAATCCATTTTACGAGTATGCATGTGTGTATTGGGGATATCATGCTCGTCTTAATCCCACGACATGTGAAGATATTTTACCCTTTCTCCAGAGGCAATCTTGCGTTGAAGCAGCGGCTCAGATATTATATGCACAAAGTAGGTATTATGATATACCTAGCGGTCACCCATGGAGTACAACTGGATTACATTTGGCAGCATATCTTGGTCTTGGACAAACCCAAGATCTCATAACGAAATATGATGTCAATCGGTCGGACGACTATGGCAGAACACCACTGCTGCATGCAATAGAGCGCAATCACAAACCGGTTGTTCAGTTACTGTTGAATAGTGGGGCCGATGTCCAGATTGCAGACCAGCGTGGTAAAACTCCACTTTTATACGCCATGATTCGAGGGACAAAAGAAATAGTACAACTACTCCTCCAAAATAAAGCCAACATTGAAGCTATAGATCAGGTTGGTAGAACGCCACTACACCACGCTGCTTCTAGACGGGACAAAGAAATTGTACAACTACTCCTCCAAAATAAAGCCAACATTGAAGCTATAGACCAGGTTGGTAGAACGCCACTACACCACGCTGCTTCTAGATGGGACAAAGAAATTATGCAACTACTCCTCCAAAATAAAGCCAACATTGAAGCTATAGACCAGACTAGTATAACGCCACTACACTACGCTGTTTTAGGAGGAGTAAAAGAAATAGTACAACTACTCCTCCAAAATAAAGCCAGCATTGAAGCTATAGACCAGGTTGGTAGAACGCCACTACACTACGCTATTTTTGGAGGGGAAAAAGAAATAGTACAACTACTCCTCCAAAATAAAGCCAACATTGAAGCTACAAACAAATTTGGTAAAACGCCACTACACTACGCTGTTTCTAGAGGGGAAAAAGAAATAGTACAACTACTCCTCCAAAATAAAGCCAGCGTCGAGGTTACAGACAAGGTTGGTAAAACGCCGCTCTGCCATGCCATTCTTCATGAAAACGAAGAAATAGTACGAGTACTGCTTAAAAATGGAGCCAAGGTTAAGCTCAGAGATCGACTTGGTCCGACACGGTGACCACCAGTAAGAGAGAAAGGGTACAAGAGAAAGGGTACAAGACAATGGAGGAGCTATTACAGTGGTTCTGGTAGCTTGCATCGATATCCAGGTCAAAATAGAAGGTTGGGATCTCTTTAGCCCCCCTTAATAGCACATAGAGTACATCGGACCAAGAATGCCGTTATTTTCACACGTGAGGCCGGGCAAACCCTAATGAGTAAAGCCCTTTCAGGCAAGAAGAAGCTACCTACCTAGGTAGGTCTCCATAAGAAAGGCTACCGTCGCCACTGTTACTACCCTGGGTGGTGGCACTAGAGGTAGGCGATTCTGGCATTCAGGTTAATGCAAATCAAGAACGATTTAGGGGAATCGAATCAAGTTTATGGGGCTATTGGAATGTACCTAGCTATTAGCCTATGTAGGTTAAGTTGACACTTTGAATGTTGTTATTGTTGAGGGCGAGAGTGAGAGTGGAAAGGAAGAGTTAGATAAACGATAGTAAAACAAAGGACAATAAGAGATAAATTAGAAGCATAACGATCTACTGATTCTACCCCATAGAGTAGCTATGCCCTCATCACCTCATATTGTCTCGCGAAGCCTGCTTCGCGAGACGAATGACGCGCAGTATTGGTATAAATTGTATAAACAAGAATTCCTCTTAATGTGTTA